TTTTTTTCGAGCAATTCGTCATTTTTCGTTATATTGTTTATCTTTCGACACTCCAATAAAAGATGCAGCTGCTAGCCCATTAGTTAGTTGCGCGTTAACGTCGAGAAAATAAAACCCATATACAGCCGACCAAGTACTAGTCATTTCATCAGCAGGTCTTTCTCTGGTGTAAGAGAAGATTACTTACAAAGTTACGTAAGAAAAAGCCCTTTATGTTGCACGGATTTTTGCTTTACACGCAAATTTGTTTCTTTGTTCGTTTTAATTTTTTTCTTGAATCTTTCTAATACTGGGTTAGAGAGGGAAGAAATTTCCTTGTGTTAACACATTTTTTACCTGCTTTTTCAGTTTCTACGAGTTAAGATCGATTGTGTTTGACCACAGGTATCCCAGCAAAAAATTCACAAAATTCGCAATTTATGAAAGTCGATAAATTTGCGAACTTTTTTTTTTACTAGTATATGATATAATACGGTATCAGAATTCGCAAATTATGAAAATTGATAAATTTGCGAACTCTTTTTACTAGCATATGATAGAATTTTGATTATTTTAATACGGTATGAAGAAAATTGCGAACTTTTTTTATTAGTACTGTTAAAAAAATTGCAAAACTCGCAAATATGTTAATTCCCTTAGTTAATTTTCTCTTGTTGTACTAGGATTTTGAAAGGGGAGCAAACATTGATCTTTATGAGAATGTAAAAAAAATCATCTTGGATTCTCAGAGTGGACATTGTAGACATGCCCTGATTGGATTCCTTTGTCTTGACAACCAGTCGAGCAACGCCTGTAGGTGACTGCCGCGTCCAAAGTAAACATGGCGGCAGGAATGTCGAGTTTCTCTGATAAAAATACATCCTGGGTTGGTGTAGAATCACTCCTAAATGATCTTTATGAGCTGGTCGATGATCGCGAGACTGGAGACGTCGCTTTCGTGGTTGGAGACTCGGAAACTAGTGTCTATGCTCACCGTTTAATTCTGATTGCAAGATGTGTGTATTTTCGTAAGAGAAAGAGGGAGTTATGGTCTAAAATGTACGGTCCTGGTTCCCCATTTGTTGTTCGAAAGTCGGGTTTCAAACCCGATGTGTTTAAAGAAGTCATAGAGTTTTTATATACAGGGAAAGTAAGTTTTTGAGATCCTTTTTCATTTTTTAAGTTCTGTAATCTTACCCAGAAAACTCTCAGAAAAATGTAATATGCTTTCCTCAATTTTTTTGGCTGTTGTCCATTAATTATTATTTTTTGATTGCCGGAAGCCAAAGCTCAAGAGGAAGGTACGTTTGGAGCTTGCAGAAACATTTAAAGCTCCCTAAATGAATGTACTTTTCAAAGGCGACCCTAAAGTTTACTATATACTACTTGTTGTTCAGACATCTGTCAAAACAGTCCAAATAATTATTATAAAGAGTACAGTCAACTGGTTGGGGAGAGTCTCCCTCACCCACCCCCATGCCAGAGAGGCGCTACCCAGACTACAGTGCTTCTTGATAGCATGACCAGAATTGTATAATTTCAGGTGTCACAACGAAATAGGATTTTGGTGATGTCAATCAAATTGTTCCTATGACATCGTTGGAAAACACAAAGTTTTCAAGGGCATGTGCCTATGGAATGAATTTCATGAAAAAGCCTAGCTTGGTTGACATCCATCAAAAATTACTTTGCTGTTATGACACTTCTGTCCGTGCTATTGAGAAGCACTATACACTTAATTTTCAAATTTGTTCATCAATTTTATAGTTTCAGTTTAAGAGTAGTACAGCATTTGAAGCCCTAAGAATTGCTGAGGACCTTGAGATTTCTGATCTTCAATCTGCTTGTGAAGATTACTTTATAAGCAACCTTGGTGTAGATAATGCTGCAGAGTTCCTTACTGATGCTATGGCCTTATCAGGGGGTACAGGACCCAATAAAACAGGAGAACAGTCAAAAGGAGCAAGGGCATTAGTTGATAAATGTATAGCATTTATGGAGGAAAATGCTGAGGAAGTGGTCCATTCAAAAGGCTTCTCTTTATTACCAAAACCTGCTTTAGTCAAACTTATTTCAAGCGACCAGGTAAGAATATTCCACTCCCAAAGAAAATATTTTGTGCTCACATCCCTTAATTTTCATAGCATTCTTAATTCTGCTAAGCACTCATTATGGGGTATGTTAAAGTTTGCAGTATCTGAAGATGAAGTGTGGAGAGCTGTCCTTAGATGGGCCAAGACAAACTTAGGAATAAACAAGCCCACGTCACAGTGGGATGCCGATGATAGAGCAAGAATCATGCAGGTGGGTCAAGTACTTGATAATGTTGTCTAAGAATATCATCATTAGTTGTTGAATGCAACATCAGGTTAGACGATGCCTTTCTCTCTCCACAGGAGCTGACAGGTGTGATTGACTATGTAAAACTTCTTTTGATAGACAGCACAGTTTTTGCTGAAGAAGTTGAACCTACAGGTGTTGTTCCAATGGAATTATCTTTAGAAAGGTATAAAAACAATATTAGAGAACACTCTGAGTGGGTGTGCACACAATTACTTATAGCATGTACACCATTGAAGGAATACTAAAAAATTATCATTCAAAACATACTTACAATATGGTAAAGTCTGGAAGTGAGCCCTCCTTTTTAATCYCATAAACATAAGTTTAAAATGTTGTTTCTTGAAGGGGCACCCAAAAAACTAAAGAAACTTTATTGTCCAGCTAAGAATCAATCAATCAATCAGTTTATTCAATCTACCTTTCTGGAAATATAGTAACAAGTATTCAAAATTCTATTAACAATAATTGTACAAATATGTAATAAAAGAAATAGTGATTGCAGATTTTATAATTGAATGTATATATATCCAGAAGGAAGACACCTAAAGAAGAAACCATAGGCTTATATTCTTGAGGTGTCTTATATAAGCTTGGGTAATTTAGATATGATTATTTGATGAAGCATGAAGGTGTAACCAATCAAAGATATCTTGTATTGTTCCATCTTTCATTGACACCCTGTTTTTTTAGGTATAGATTTGCAGCAGTTCCAACAAGGTTTAGTGCCTCTGTTGACCCACGTTTAATACCAAGGGTATCAAGCAGGTTATACAATGGTAGTACAATACTGGGCAAAAACAAAATAAAACTTCAAAAAATCCTTAATGGCTGGTATGGCAATGAGAACCAAGAATGGCAGCTTCTTTTCAAAGGGTCAAAAGATAATTATTCTGCTACAGCATTCCATACGAAATGTGATGGGCAATCACCAACAATGACAGTAGTGATGGTAAGTCAAAAAATCAAAGGAAAAAAGTTATAACTAGGATGGGTCTTCTGTCCATCCTTCGGTTCGTCTCTTGCTTGCAAGGTGATAAGTACAATGGGTAGTCAAAACAAACGTGATCTTTCCCCCATCTCTCCTTCTGGTCTTTGGCATCTTACTGTCTATCCTTCATGCCCCCTAACTTATTCTTTCCTTCCTCTCCCATTTCGTTTCCTCCTTCCTTTCTCGCAATAGATTTTCGTTGTTCAATCATTTTAGGGCGCTAACGGCAGCATATGTGGAGGATTCAGCGATCAGCCTTGGAGAAGTGATGTCCCAAGAGGGAAGTACGTACCATCAACCAGGTAATAATAAAACTATTTTCATTTACATGTTATAAGGTACAATTACGTTTCATCTGATTTCTGGGCGTAACGTTACGAATACCATGGTCGGATCTAGGATCTAAGTTTTAATTTATCCATTAACTATAATCAAACTGATTTGTTTCAGTACTTTTCTGTTCACACTGACGAACAGCAGTGGTGTTCCTCCTACAAAGTTTTGCGTGGTCAATTCCAAGTACGCTACACTTCATCACCCAAAGTAAGTGATGCACATTTGAAAGGAAACCATTCGAGCGTGAAAAGTTTTTGTCATGTTTATTCAGTAATTTCTTTATTATATGAAATCTAGATCTCCTGTTTTCTTGACGTTACTTGCCTTCTGGGGTATCATTGCCTCATCAGGTTAAGTTTTCTTTCCTTGGATGATCTGTGACCACTGCCCTTCTACAACCACTTTAGTTAGTCATTTATTGTTTGATCGCCCTTGGTTGGAACTCTTTGTTTTCTGTTCTCCAACACGCAGTTGGTGGATTGGGCGGGTTGGGTAGCTAGCCACCCATTTCGGACTTTAACTCTGAAAGTGAGTTTTTCAAATTGTAAACTCAAAAAAAAAAAAGTAAAATTGAACTGACAGAAGAAAGTACAGATACAAATAAAGCCGCTTACCTGCTTTATTGGAGACAGTCGCCTCTGCATGGTCATCCTGCATCCAGTCTACCACCTGGTCCTCCTCCTCCCTCTGCTCATCTTCATCCTCCTATCGTGATTTTTTCGTCATCTTCATCATCTTTGTCATCATCACCACCATCATTTGTAGGCATAATTTTATACTATTTAGTTCTTATGCAAACATTGTGTATGCAGTTTTTCCAATGAATATATCTGCTATTTTCAAAGTAGTTTACAATGGTTTTGCTTTCGAACAATACGAGTTCACAATTAACATTTAGTGACTGGTACCGAGCGAGGGAAACAGTGTGTTTTGTGGTCCCGAGACGGCCATGCTTGCCGAGGTGAAGCCTCATCTCGCCCAAACAGAGTACGAGAAAAATGGACTTTGACAGTTGGTATATAACAATGGTTCTTTGTTTAATAATCCAGGTATGGTCCGATGTTCGGCGCAGGAGCTGACCTCTGCATCAGTGACAGATGTAATACCCAAAGAGAATCCTATTCCAATCTGCCTCACTCCTATGCTGGTGTCGAAGCCACGCCAGAAGTCTTTATGGGAGAGTACAACTTTCTTGTCGAAGATTACGAAGTATTTGGATTGAAGAATGAACATTTATATGAAAAACCGTTATAATTACTTACGATCCATCCTTAAAACTTACCAAACCATTTCTACCACAGGCAACCCAGTAATCGGATATAGAGGAGAGCTGAGTGAGTAATTTTACGAAAACCATTAATTTATATTACTTTTTCCAACTTGAAATCTAAACAACCGAGAAATAAAATCTAACCATTTTAAAATTTACGGTAGTCGCAAAGTGAAAAATATGAAACAATGCCAAAAACGAAGCTCCATGAACAAACTTCTTTGTCCTGTGTGTACAAGCTATCGTGATGGTTATTATAGTTAGCATCAAGGGGTTTGTAAATAGAGTAAAGGCTATGGTGATATATAATTTGTACTATATTTATTAAATATATACCGCAATTTTTGTGGAAGTCCAAAAATACCCAATGTATAAAACGGTTAAATGAAAGGTTTTGTGAAAAAATTTCACGCTCTTTCCATCTGCAAATTGCAGCATTTTAACCATCGCTCGCCCATTTTTGGAGTCTTTTTTAGTTTTTGCAAATTGTAGGTTGGTTATTTGATCGATTATTCACCATACTTATTGATATTTATTATTGGTTCTGCGAATTCTTCTGCAAATTCCAGGTTGGTTATTTGATCGATAATCACCTTTTTTTTCTTTCCGTTTGGTTCTGCAAATCCTTGAAATATTATGATACCATTTCTCAAGACGGCTGTATGTTAGTAGACATAGTCAAATTCCATTCCCTGTGCACGTAACCTGCAATACCGTGGCTACAGCCCTAAATTGATCTCTTTTGAGGTAAATTTGTGAACAAGATTTTAGGATTTTTAGTATTTACTTTATTAAACTAGGACCATAATTCTAGAAATCGAGTGCTGAGCCGTTGTATGGCAGCACGAAACATTTACGGCTACGCCGGAGATTTCGGCGATTTTTTTCTTGTCAGAAAATGTAGAAATTGCGCAATAACACCCAGAARTCTTCACGGCACCACCCACTAGTCCTTTGCGCACATATGATATAGAGATCCAAGTGCAGTCATTGTCCTTGTCAGAAATTTTTTGCCAGGAAAAATGGGAAGCATAGCTCTACTTTTCGCGGATCGATATTGCTTATATGACTAATAACGTTTGGTGGAACTTATACAGGCTTATAATAACCGACTAGAAATAAATCTTTTTTCACAAAAAAGATTGCCTTATTGTTGAAAATTCATGAATCTAATAAATATGGATTTAAAAAAAAAAATCTTATGTGGATAAGATGGGATTCGAACCCATCAAAAGAAATAAAAAAAAGCGATTCCACTGTGCCATACCCCCGAGACATCCGCAGAGCTGAGGCG